AGTAAAATTAAAGTTAATTTTTATTTTTTATACAAATTAATAATTAAAAAATATAATAAATGTACCATTAACTTTTATATTAAAAGTACATGTTAAAAAATTCTATTTATTATATATATATATATATCAATTTAATCACATGAATTTAATTTTAATATTCAGTACAAAAACAAAACCTTAATTTTGGTTAAGGTTAGACATTTTGTTCAGATTGTCTAAATCAAACTAAATTTTTAGTTATCTAAATTTGGATATGACTTTTATATCAAACTCAAACTAAAAATTTGATTCGGTTATAATTTCAGATAATTAAAATTATTTAGATAATTTAGTTAATCAATTTGAAATAATTAAAATTTTTATGTATTAATGTTGATGTATCATTATTTTTATTGTTGGTTGTTAAAAGCCTTTTCATATCTATTTTGATTATTTTTGATTTTTTCAAAAAATAAATTAGACCCAAAAAATTTTATTCAAAAACATATATAATTATTTAATATTAAATTTTTTTAAATATTTTAATGACTCATATCCATAATTTTAGATATAAGCCAATAATTATATTAAAATCAAAATTAATTTTAATTATTTTAATTTTATCTAAATTTATCCAAAAAATCTAAATGATTCAAACTAAAATTTAAAAATTTCATCTCCCGTGCTCCGAAACTCTGCAACTAGGGTTTCGGTGACGGCGGGCCTCTCACTTCGGTGCCCCTCCTTGTTTTTGCAAGGCCTCCCTCCTCTTTCTTTTTCCTGGTTTTCTACCTCTCCATTCCATGGATCAGACTTGTATTTTGGCCTGGAACTGTCGAGGTCTTGGAGATACTTTTGCGATTTCAGAGTTGAAGAAACTCTGTTTCCAACATAAGCCCAGCATCATCTTTCTCTCCGAAACTAAGCGCACAGCGGTGGTGATGACCTCGATCCGCCCAGATCTAGGGTTGGATCACTTTTCTGTGTGCAATTATGCAGAGAGAAGGGGCGGCTTGACCCTGCTTTGGAGTGAGGAGAGTAATCTTCAAGTTTCCTCTTTCTCGCCATTGATAGATCTAGGGTTGGTTTTGCTGTTCTGCAGGCAATTGTGCATAGAGAAACCATCACACATCGATGTTGTTATTGTAGATCCCGGTGGTTGTCAACGGCCATCAACAGGGTATTCTGGCCAACCAGAGATGGTTTCTCCTATGCCTCGACGATGTTTAGGTGATTTCAAGGATTTTTTTAGCAAATCGGCAAAGGAGAGGGGCTTTCTCAGATTCCAGTTGGTTTCTGCGGGAGGGGCCAAAAGGGGAGAATGCCGGTGGAGGTTGTTTGGAGACGTCGGAGGTGTTCTGCAAGGGGAGGATGCCATTTCAGTCTCAAAAGGGGCTCTAGTTCCCTTATTGAAATTTGGCAACAAAGGCTTGCAAAGGATTGGAATAGTTAGGATCATGGTTGGGAG